CATGCATCCTAAATCTTGGAGCACTCTTGAATACTTTCCCATTTGAGAGTTCAGGTTCTGGGCTGACAAGGGCTACCCGCTGCAACCATGGCTCATGAAATCACCGAACAACCTCCTGACTGATGCTGAGCACAGATACTTTGCCACCAATACTACAACTAAGGCTGTGATGGACGATAGGAATGCAGAACGAGTGGTTCCACAGCTTAGGGCAGTCTGACTGAACCCTAGAGTATAGTCAGGACAGTGTGCCACATCATCCTGGTACGTTGCGCACTGCACAGTTGGAGGAGGCAAAAAGGCCAAGCACTGAATGCTTAGGAAATGCGGGAATGGGATTAGTCTTCTGAGGAGAAGGATAGGAAGGTTGGGGGGGAGAAAGCTGTCTTTGTCCAAGACAGAGTTGAACTGTGTTGAGTGTTAAAACTCTGACAGAACTTCATTAACAGCTGCTTCTAATAGATGGGAAATGGGTTCAGAGACTGTCATGGAATATAAAATAATCATTGATCATAATGCCAGCATTTGGGTTCTGTTCTGGGGGCAAACTGCAACCTCTATTAGTTTTATTTGTGTCTGCTGCCTGTAAATAAAAGCTCATTTTGGAATTGTTTAATTGCTTGCCTGTATATGAGTTTTCCTACGGGACAATGACAGAATCTGGGTCTACTACAGTGAGTATTGGGGGCAAAATATCGGTGATATAGAGAGGGTGTTTAGATGGGAATGTAGCCATGACAGGTAAGTTTTGGCATGTTGGTTAAACAGCAATAATGGTGTGAGAATAAGGGGTTTTTGTGTACAAGGAACTGTCAAATGTCAGTTTTGCAGCGTGGCTTAGTTGATGTTGTGCCATTACACTTCTAGTGTGGGGGCCAATAACAGATTGCCAATACTTGTCTGTGTGGAGTTTGCACATTCTCCCCATGTCTGCGTGGGTTTCCGCTGGGTGCTCTGGTTTCCTCCCACAGGCCAAAGACGTGGAAGTTAACTGGATTAGCCATGGTAAATTGTCTGTGGTGTCTGGGTTTGTGCAGCCTGGGTGGATTAGCCATGCGACATGCAGGGTCACAGGGATTGGGTAAGCGTCTTGGTCTGGGTGGAATGCTGTTCAGAGGTTCGGTGCCATTGGGCGACACGGTGGTTCAGTGGTTAGCACTGCTGCCTCACAGCACCAGGAGCCCGGGTTCGATTCCACCCTTGGGCGACTGTGTGGAGTTTGCACATTCTTCCTGTGTCTGCGTGGGTTTCCTCCCATTGTCCAAAGATGTGCAGGGTAGGTTATTGGCCATGCTAAATTGCCCGTAGTATTCAGGGATGTGTAGATTTAGGGGGATGGGTCTGGGTGGGATGCTCTGAGGGTTGGTGTGGACTTGTTGGGCTGAAGGGCCTGTTTCCGCACTGTTGGGATTCTAAGATAATGAGCCGAATGACCTCTTTCTTCACTGTCGGGATTCTATTCTATTTTTTCAGGGGATATCTACTGGGTGATGAGTTGTTCCAGGATTGGCACATAATAACATGGGGACAAGAATCAGGTGAGAGGCGTGCAATGCTGCAGGGTTGATAGTTAATGAGATGTGTTTGGTAAGATATAGCAAGAAATTTTGCTGAGATAATGCAGTGTGGCTCTTCTGTTTTTTTCTGAAGAAGAGTCCCGACCCGAAGCGTCAACTTTCCTACTCCTCTGATGCTGCCTGGCCTGCTGTGTTCCTCCAGCTCCACACTGTTATCTCTGACTCCAGCATCGGCAGTTTTTACTATCTCTGAGAAGTCTTGCTGAGCATTTTATTTTTTTGGAGAAATTCTTGTAAGATGACAAATGTAAGATTCAAACCAATGTTTTACAATTGGTAGATTCTTTCCAATTATTTAATTCCCTACATATAAGTTTCCAGATATTAGAGTGAATCAACAGTTCTGTGGTTGTATGTTTGAATAGCACTTATTTAAAATATGACAACTTATTTATAAATTGTTTAACTCAAGTATGTGATCTTCATTATGTTTTAAAACAAAGAGCTCCTTGTGTTACATAAAAACTTTAAATTGATGTTTTTAGCCATTTATTGGTATATGAGAATACTATTAAGATATTGAATCCAAAATCTGGTGGAAGTTCACAGATGTCAGCAGATCATTTTTAAAGTTTTCCAGGTATGGCTTCACATTTGCCAGAAAGCTGCAGGTTTAATTAATAGTAAAAGTCTCAATTACATCAATGGTCATTCAGGATCTGTCTGATTTCCTTCAGCACTTTTCAGCCCAGTGAATTTTACCTAGAGTTCTTGTATTTCTGGTAGATTAGCAGTAAACGAGGAAGACTGCCTCCCAATCTGTGGTAGTGATGAGAGTGACAAGACAAAAGAACCCTCCATGATACATAACACTTAAGAATTTTCAGTTACTCTTATTGGATAATTTCATCTGCATAGCATAAAACAAGTTATTTTCATTCTGGAAATCCTCTATGCAAAATATGATGGAGCAGAACTGAATAAAATTAGCATCATAAATACCATCTGCAGCTCATAAGTATTAGGATTATCTGTGTGCAGGCAGAGTAATGTCAACTTCAGTAACAGTGCCAGGAAACCTTCCTATACCTGTGACTATAACTTGTATAATAGTAGTAATTATACAGGGAATATCTGAAGGAAACAGGAGAAGGTAGCTACTCCCAGTCTGGCCATTTAATGAGCAGCTTCCACTCCTATTAAGTATTAAAATAGAATGAGACTTTATTGGGAGATCAGGTCTCTAAGTTTAGGAAAATGTTACAATTCTGTCCATTGATGGATGTGATCTCCTATTATCAAAATATTATGCTTATTATTATTATTATTATTACTATTCGTATTATCAGTCTTTCAACCCTGTTCCACCATTCCGTGAGATTATTCAAGGTAAATCTATGATAAGTCCCTAACCAACAAAAGCAGGTGAGATAGATAGAATCTCATTCCTCTTTAATATCTTAAAATTTTCAGGCAAATCATCCATTGACCTTCTATTCCAGGTATTGTTCTGGTAAATCCATACTGCACCTCACTTCACACGCTCCCTGTATAAAAACCCCTCCACAGTCAATTCCAGTGCAAGATTATTGCATTTGGAATAAAGAAAGCACAAAGCTACCTTTCAAAGGCCGACAACAACCATCACCAATATCCCCCCACACCCCCGCCCCCAAAGTAGTTACTAGATTACATACGTGCATTGTGAATACTGATGATATTTTGGCCTTCATAATATTTTGAAGGAACACGTGGAATACTTAAGTGTATTATTTGGTAGACAAATTTGTCAACTAGTGTGTTTGCCAAGGTGAAAGTTATCTATTTCAGACATGTGGGGCAAGATTATATGTTGCCTAGAAAAGCTACAGTCCAACTAAGTTTATTATCTCTTTAACAAAAAGAAACACAGAAAATACTATTGATTTTTTGAAATGTGTGGGCTCTGGAGGAACTTTGTCCCTAATTTCAAAATGGTAGTCTGTCCATTAATAAACTTGTAGAGATATATATAAATTTAAATTTATATCATCTTATCATACCTCTTTTGAGAGGTTGAAGATTGTATTAATAGAAGAAACTGTTTTAGCTGGTCTGAATCTAAATAAACCATTCAAAGCCTTTTAATGCCAGTGATGTATGCATGCAAGTGGTGTGGCTACAAGAGGCACATAATGGTCTCACATCCCATAAGCTACTACTCAAGAAAATGTAATACAGGTCAATAAAACTACTCCGTAATGGAGAAGGAAATGTTCAATCTTGACTCTTCAACAATTTGAAATGTATGTTTCAAGTTATCTAATAGAGACAGTAATTTATACTGATGATAATCCACTGGTGTTTTTGGAGAGGTTCTGCATGAGGAATCCTCAGCTACTTCTCTGGAGTTCGATGTTGCAGCCACTCAACCTAAAAATTGAGCATGTTGCTGGGAAAAACAATGTAATTGCTCATGCTCTATCCAGAGTTCATAGGAAGATTGTAGGAAAGAAGATAGGCTCTATATTATGATCATTCAATGACAATTAAGTAATACCTGTTATATTTCTGCTTTTGCTTTGGTTAAGCACTATAATAGTGTAATACAATGGTTACCATTATAGAATGCAATAAACTATTTGATAAACTGTTTATGATGATAAGAACTTCCAGCATTTCAAAATAATTGTAAATAAACCTTTATTTTAGTAACGTTTTTTGTTTTCCTTTAAAGTGAAGATTTTTTGAGACAGACCATAACTGAAACAAGGAAGGGAAAATGACCTCCTTAGTTCTTACAAAGAATGAGATTTTGAAACCAAAACTTCTGAGCAGTCTGAACCTGGTTGCAAAATTTAAAATGGTACAGACCAATGCAAATGTAACAGTTGATTGGGCAGGTGAGCTGAAGGTGGAGTCAAGATCTAGAAGATGAAAGTTTGTTTCTGCTGCTGATTCTTTTACTTTGAGCTAACATTGTCTCAGTCTGGATGAGGTAGATCCAGATTGTCTCAGTCTGGATGAGGTAGATCCAGATTGTCTCAGTCTGGATGAGGTAGATCCATCAAAGACATTCTGCAGGATGTGTGCCATTGAAGACTTGGGTTGGTTGGGTGATGCTGCTGACTGGGGATCAAATAAGCTTCCAGAAGGGGAGGATCTGAGGAAGATAGAGTTTTGAAGGACTTTGTGACTGAGTGTGATCACCAGGATGTGAATGGACTACTGGGCCAATTCATGAGTGTCTTACTTGTATGTGCTATTGATGTGTAATTTACAGTTTATAATCGATGGCAATTTGTCTGCTAATTCATGTTTAATTTATACTCTAGAATCAACATAGATTGTCTAAGATATTATTTAATTTTGTTTGATTCCTGCATAGTTTTAAATCATGGAGTCTTGTGGCTTCATTATTTAATAAGTAACTGTATTTATATTTCTTCTTTCTACTTCTAAAAAAATTACTAATTCACCCTTTCAAAAGTTGAATCTGTCAGGTTTATTCAGCATGGCTACTCTTACAGGATAAAACATTTAAAACCATTTTGCATGCAATAACTTTGAAATTCAATTTATTTTGAATCTTGAGCTCTCAGATTTGCTTTAAATGTTGGTTTGATTTTGATTGAGGAAACTTAGGTGTACCCATTTTGTACTCCATATGAATTGCTTGCTCAATCAAAAATCTACTATAATAAAAACAAGAGATGGATTCAGGTTTTAATTTGAAAAATATATTCACAACCAAGTTTTAATTCGATAAAAGGCTTAACAGAGTTTGGATAAAATGCTTGCCAAAATGTTTGTTGATTACAATTAGCCTCAAAGTAAATGATATATGCTTGTTCAATCTGTTTAATATTTTATTTGACATTTCATTAACACTTTAATAATGAGCACACGCAGTTTCAACATATTCCAAATTTCAGTATTGTAATTCAAAGAAAAATTAACCGCCCACACTTTTCATCCCTATAACTTTACAGTTCTTTGCTTTCAGATACCTAAATGTGTTTTTTAAACTCTTCAATTTTCATGTCTAGTTTTCTTCTGTCTTTGCTCTTCAGAAGCATACCAATTTATGTAATCACCAAGTATTTTTATCATTCTTTAAACACTCCTCTTCACTACAATTCTTTTGAACTTCGGCCTGTTTCTGGAACCCATCACCCCTTAAAGTATAGACATTAAATGAAAACAGTACATTTTATATCATTTTTCTTGACACTAGCAAATTATGAAAATTATATTTAAGCACTTAAAGTCAGAGGAAGCATTAACTGAAAAATCACTCATCACTTCCTTTTTGTCATAGAAGACCTGAGAGGCAGTACTGCTTCCACCCACTGATTAGGTTTGGATATCATGTCCATCCAGACAGCAGTTTCTTCTTCATTTGAGTCCATCCAATCCACATGATGACCATAACTACTACCTGTTAAAGAAACAATGAATCACAAATAAGCTTTTTTTAAAAATGAATACCAGTTGGAAATTTAACATATAACCCTCACTGTTGCAGTTTAATAAAAATGAAGCACATCTATGGGCTCTTGAGGAGATGAAGTATTACAAATAGTTGGAAGGTGAAGTTCCTCACAAGGAGTGGGTGAAGCAGATTGATGTGTGTAAGGGGATGCTTGTTGCAAACATAAGGGAGAAAGGGTTAGAGGGCAGGAAGGAAGATGTAATTAGAATGGAGGTGGCACTTTAGGGTATAAAAATTGGCATAAATTAGTTGACCCTAATTGTCAATTTATGTGACATAGCTGTGATGAAATTCTAAATAATATTGTATTGCAATCTTGAACAATGATTGACCAGTATCAATTCTTTTTAACTGAAATCATCACAAACATCTCAGAGAAGCACATCTACTGAAACCACTCATTTCGTGCAGGTTCTTGGGATTGAAAAGTGCTTGTCAGTGTGGTGCCAAATTGTACTTCCCATTTATTTTAAAGATCTAATTTTGCAACTCCCCATCAACGATGCTTCTGGAGCAGTTTTTCATTGTACAAATAAAAATGACCTTTTTTTCTTCCTTCGAGAAATTCATCCTTTTTTTATGCATGCAACCAGAAATGTTATTAGTTTTACTTATAATAGAGCTAGTATTGAGGCAAAACAATGCTATCCAATAGTCTTCATACTTTGTAAAGTTAAAATCAGTTATGAAGTGTCAATAGCACTTTTATTATTGAAGTTATAGAAAGCTTATGTGGTTAACCAACAAAATTTTCTGTGTTACAATCATAGTATATTATAAGAAAAATGAGACTGAGGTTTAAAGGGTTAGAAGATTATTCTTTCACCACTGGGGTCATAGGTAACATGACAATCAGGATGAAAATCTCCTTATCGCTTTTTGTAAATGTCCCAAATATAATGATTTTGGACAACTGAACAATCTTCCTGGTGGGTTATTTGCAGAACAAACTGACCATCATTTATCTTTATTGACAGCTTTACTGCAGAGATAGCTGTGAGAAGTAGAAATCGTCTCCTTCATGCAATAGAGCTGATCTGAGGAAGGGTCACTGGACCCAAAATGTTAACTCCGATTTTCCTTCACAGTTGCTGACAGACCTGCTGAGCTTTTCCAGCAACTTCTGTTTTTGTTCCTGAGAGCTGATCCGAGATTGCTGCAAGACAATGCTGTGGCAGACGAGAATGATTTTCTTTCTATCTGGCCTAAGACTTGACCTTGAAATTTATTCCCCAGGGCAGATATCATTCATACAAAGAGGACAAAGTCAGACAAAGCAATTTAGTTAGCTAGAGAACTATGATTAAATTTGCCCATTTTCAATTAAAATGTTTTATCAAGTGAGATTCATAGTGCTTGTTCCACCATGGCTCATAGTGACTTATCTTTTGCAATCTTCCTTTCTTCATCTTATCATTTATGCTACTGAGTTCCTCAAGTTTCTTATGGTATAATTCAATAGACAAGGTGGAAGTGCATGTCACTGCTAGAACCTTGCAGTGTTCATGCTGATGGTACTAATTGCTCAGTACTTCAAATGGTGCAAGCCGGGAACTCCCCCTCTCACAGAGGTGCTTGATCATTATCACTAAGGACATGGCCCAGAAAGGACAGCTCAACCCACTTTGCAGACTGGGACCTGGAAGTGCCAGTGAGTTGGATGGTGGAGAGGAGAGCTATCCTTTATCCTAGTACCTGCCGCAGGAGGCCATTCCACCAGACGCAGACAGTCTAGACCAAGATAGCAAACCAACTGAGTCCTGAGTTAAAAGGAATACCCAACAGTTCCGGAAAAAGGTCAATGATTGTCTGTGTCCTACAAGGTAAATGATTCTTAACAGTCATAGCGCAGCCACTCACTCAAATTTGTTACAGTACACATCACGCCAAGGCTCATGGACTACGCTTCCCACTATTGCATGCATCATGTCCATTCAATGGGTATCAATCACCTTATCCTGCCAAACAGCTAATCCTCTGCTTCCTGCACACTTACTGCGGTCACCTCACCACCTCTTATGCTTATGCATTACCACTAGCTGCTCTTCCATCCACTTGCGTTGTATTCAATCCTTCCTTTTTGTCTCATTGTGGAAATAATTGCCATACCTCTGCAGATTGCTGACACTTGACCTATAGGGCTGACCATGGCTGACTACTGGAACTGGACAAACTTTGACTGTAGACCCTATGCAAATGATTCCTTGTAGCAGTGTTTTTGATGTACCACAGTGTCATAAAGTGACATATCCATGCACTTCATTTTTCAGTTCTCCCCACTGTGATAAGGTGCCTGATTCTCCCTCTATGCTTAGAAAACTGTGTCAAAAAGACAGAAGTGGGTAGCCTCCAAATAAGAGACCACTGATAAAACAAGCTGAAAGACATGATGCATCCTGTGTAGATGCACGAGAATTATGTTTTCCCCTGCACAGAAAGTAACCCACAGAAGCAGATTACACCATTTCTTCAGTGCCGCTGGGTAAAAATTCTAGAACTCCCTTCCTAACAGCATTGTGGGTCTATCTGCAGAACATGAACTGCAGCAGTTCACTAAAGGAGCTCACCACCTCTTTCTGAAGGGCAACAAGGGATGGACAATAAATGCTGGCCCAGCTAACAATGCCACATACCATAAATGAATTTTAAAAAAAAAAAAGCAGGCAAGTCATAGATGTCCTTGACTTCCAAAGTAACCTGTTGAAGGGCTAAAATATAAGAGTTGGTCTGAGAGCAGGCATTATGCTGTGGGTGGTGCTGGGTGGTATGTAAATGCAATAAACAAAATCAGAAATTGCTGAAAAAACTCAGCAGGTCTGGCAGCATCTGTGAAGAGAACTGCCAGATCTGCCAGGTAGGTAGGATGGTGAGATCAGGTTGTGGAATTCAGAGAATCAAAGTGATGTGGGAAAGATTTGGGGGTTATGGGGGATGTCAGAGTGTCAGGAGGAGTTGAGAATTAAAGAGAGAAATCAGAAGGTTTGGTAGGGGAGGGATTCTGTGTTGGGGAATCAGAGGGTGAATTGGGAAATTGTGGTGGGAGGTGGGCAGCATTAGTTGTGTAGTTATCCAGGAATTCAGTATAGTTTTGTCTGATCTAACCTTTCTGAGCAACTGTACAGGTAATTAAGTCTGATCTTTCTCAAATCTCCAATTCTGCTCATCTGAGGTCCTGGGAATTGTCTAGTGGAAGTTTAACCTTCCCAATCAATTCCCATAGTCACTGTTTGGAGCTCCTGAGCATATTTTTGGGGTTATATCTGGTCTCCAAACATCCAAAGACACAAAAGATGTGGGCCTATATTTAGCCTGAATTTTTTAAAAGATAATGATATATACAAATGACAAACATTATGTTACATCCACATTTTGCAATGCTGTATTGAAGTCATTACTGGGAAATTGGGACTTACCATTGTTTGTGGCAAGCAACAGTTTAATCAGCTGTGATGTAACCATGAATTAAAAAAATGTAACCATGAATTAAAAATGTTCCCCAAAAGAAAACTGCTTTTTAAAAGCTGTAACTCTCACTGGCTACACAACAAAATAGGTAGTGCAGTTATCTCTACCTCTGCAGCATCATAGTGCATTTTAAAACATATTTAGAATAAAGCAATAATTGAGTTGTTAAATATATTACAGTATATTTCCCATTATCTCTGCATGTCAGGATCTAAATCTATATCTTCAAGCAATACAAACTATTTTCTGTAAATTGCAGACACAATTACAATTCAAACTTTTCATACCTGTGCCTAGATTAAGGCGAATTCCTCCAAGAAACTGATTAGTGAAGGTTTCATGGTCCCAGATGGATAGTTCTGCACAAGCCTCCATTATTTCATCCAGCCTAAATCCATCGTACACCATAGTATGGTTATAGATTGGATTAAGGCTTTTCTTTACTATTCGGGTCTTCTGTCTGCTCTTCTTACTGGTATCTGGTAAAATATAACTAGAAGAAGAGAAGCAAGAAGAAAATGGTAGTGAGCAGCTTCAGATAATGTTAAATAAATTCTACAATGAACCATTTTATTTCAAGCTGTACATGTAGTGAATTCTGTTGAGGGCCAAATTGTATAATATTTTAGGAACTAGTCACCTGATGTTAAAAACCAAAATTTTATGAAATAATGTATGCAAACGTTATAAAATGCACATGCATGAAAGAACCACAGTTTTGAAAGCATCAACAAAAATTGATCTTCTCTATTTTACAAATCTTATCTTTCCCATAGCATCACATAATGTGAGACAATCATGTTAAAATCATCTCTAAAAAGACAGTCATAAAACAACTGCATTATGTAAGCTTCATAAGGGTTATATCATTCTTTTGCTGCTTGCTACTAGAAAAATTTAATGCTAACTATTTAAAAAAAACATAACTTTCAGTTTCCAGAACCAGAGGAGAGGTAAAACTGAAATCACATCACCTGATTTGATTTCTTACTATTGCTATGTGTACTGAGATACAGTAAAAAGTATTGTTTCATATGCTAACCAGACAAATTATACCTTACGTAAGTTCAGTAGGCTAATAGAACAGAATGCAGAATATAGTGTTACAGCTACAGAGAAATTGCAACGACAGATCAACTCTAGTATATTCATTGATTCGTAAGTCCAATAACAGCAGGGAAGAAGCTGTTCTTAAATCTAATGGCACATGTTTTCAGACTTCTGTATCTTCTGCCTGATAGAAGAGGGTGGAAGAGAGTCTAACCAGTGGTCATTGATTATGTTGGCTGCTTCCCGAGGCAGTGGGAATTCTAGATGTAATTAATGAAAGCAAATAAGCCAGGTTTTTGTGATTAACTGGACTGCTTTCACAACTCTCTGTAATTTCTTGGGCACAGTATTTGCCATACCAAGCTGGGTAAGAAATGCTGGTCAGCCAGTGATGCCCACATCCCACAAATGAATAGAAAAAGAAAGCTATAATGGAGCTGGATAGGATGCTTCCTATGGTGCATCTATAAAAATTGGTAAGAATCGTTGTGGAATTTCCTTCGCCTTCTGAGGAAGGAGAGACATCGGTTTGCCTTCTTAACTGTAGCATCAATGTGGATGGACCTCGATTAGATCACTGGTGATATTTACTCCTAGGAACTTGAAGCTGTCAACCAGCTCCATGTCAGGACCATTGATACAGATAGGAGTGTGTCCTCCACTCCACTTCCTGAAGTCAATTACGAGCTCCTTAATTTTGCTGACATTGAGGGTTAGACTGTTGTCTTTACACCATGCCACAAAGCTGTCTTTCTCCTTCCTATACTCTGTCCTGGTGCTGTTTGACATCCGAAAACTTGTAAATGGGGTTAGAGGTGAACTTGGCCACTTAGTCATGAGTGTATAAGGAATATAGTAAGGTGCTGAGTATGCAGCCTTGCAGGACACCAGTGTTGAGGATTATTGCGGAGGAGGTGTTGTTGCCTATCCTTACTGATTGCGGTCTGTTGGTCAGGAAGTCGAGGATCCAGTTGCAGAGGGGGTAGCAGAGTCCTAGGTCTCGGAGTTTGAAGATGAGTTTTGTTGGAATTATGGTGTTGAAGACAGAGTTAATTTCAATGCATAGGAGATTGACGTAGGCGTCCTTATTAATCAGATGGTCGAGGGTTGAGTGTAGGGCCAGGGAGATGGCGTCTGCCATGGACCTATTGTAAAATTAGGCAAATTGTAATGGATCAAGGCAACCTGGGAGACTGGAGTTGATGTGGGTCATTACTAACCCCTTGAAGCACTTCACAAAGATGGATGTCAGAGCCACCAGTCAGAACCTCACATCATAGTAAGGAGAGGTTAAAGATGTCTGCAAATACTCCTGCAAGCTAGTCCACGCAGGATCTAAGTGCATGGCCAGGGACTTCAGTCTTGGCCAGTCATTTTCCATAGGTTCATCCTAGAGAAGGCCAATCTGAGAGCTGTGACAGTGACTATGGGTACAGGTGCACCCAAGGCTGTCAGGGCGGGTGACACCGTTTCACTGACCTTCTGTTCAGAATGAGCATGGAATGCATTGAGCTCATCGGCCAGGGATGCATTGTTGTTAGTGATTCTACTCAGCTTCACTTTGTAGCCCATTATATCGTGTAAGCCTTGCCACAGTCAACGTGTGTTTGTGCGGTAGGTCTGGGATTCTAGGTTAGTCTCGTATTGTCTCTTGGCATCCCTGCTGGCCTTGCAAAGATTGTACCTAGAATACCTCTATAGGTCAGGGTCACCTGACTTGAACATCTCAGATCTGGGCTTCGGTAGGGAGTGGATCCTCTGGTTCATCCATGGTTTCCAGGTGGGGAACACTTGGATTAACTTATTTGGCATGCTGTCTTCTACACACTTACTGATGAAGTCTGTGACAGTAGTGGCATACTCAATTAGGTTGGCTGCTGAGTTCTTGAATATGGACCAGTCCGCTGGTTCCAAGTAGTCATGCAGGAGCTTCATCTGTTACCTCAGAGCAGCACTGTAAGACTTTCTGTACTGGATCCTCACACTTCAGTTTCTGCTTGGAAGCTGGGAGAAGGAGCACAGCCTTATGGTCTAATTTAGCAAAGTGCGGGTGGGGAATGGAATGGTAGGTGTCTTTGTGGGTGTGTAGCAATGATCCACACTGTTTGGGCTATCTGTTAGATCGAACATCTATTTCTAATTGTATCCCAAGAATAGGAAATACGCTGACCTAAATTATTAGGCTAGTTTCACATCCAAAATTCAATTGACTATGTGTCAGAACCAGTTGCCTTTCAATCAACCTTTTCTGAACTTTACTTTTGATATTCACAATGTTGAAAAGCAGGAGAAGATGCAAGCTGATCACAGTGGAGCTTCCTGAATATCAACAGTCGCTTAACATAAAAAAAGTTCCACATACAAAATCTACTGATGCAGGGTGATAAAACGATTAAAAGCAAATATTAAACCCGTAAATGTCATTTAAGGGTCACATGAGATTAAATTTAATAACCCATCAATCACTTAGTAAATAGGATCTGAATATTTACGGCACAGATTTAGACGAGTAAATCTCTGCCAGTGCTAGTTTTTTATAGCTGAAGCTATCACTTCAAATTTTTTCACTACTTTTCCTTTCTAAATAATGTCCAATCCTTTTTGAAGGATGTTATAATCATTGCATTACAATAAAATTCTATACCTTAGCAATCTCTGCATGAAACAGGATTACCGAATATCTGAATAGTGATTATAGAGTTTGGAAGGACAAGGATCATTAAGAGAACTGAGATGTTTTTCATCCACAAAAATACCCATTCAGTGTTTCAAATAGACTGTCCGAATCAAATGCCTACTGCCTGCCTTTGTTTGTAAATCCATGTTTAGAACTGTAGGCAGGGGAGTGAAGGCTGGTGTTTAGCACGTCTAAACTGCACAACACTGGGTTGGTGGGACTTAGCCTGAACTGGCAGCCTACCTGGCAGTAATAGTTCTGATTTCAAAAATCCAGCTATTGGTTAACCAGGCTCAGTATCCATCAGCTGACAGCGTGGAAGATCAGAAATAGTGCCAGCAGAATGGACAGTGATATTAAGGCAGCATCTAACTCAGCAGCTCATCCAGGAGGAGAACTGCTAAATCAGACCTTTTCTTTTCCATTCATTTGTGGGATGTGGGCATCGCTGATGGGCCAGCATGTATGGCCCATCCCTAGTTGCCCTTCAGAAGGTGGTGGTGAGCTGCCTTCTTGAACCACTGCAGTCCACCTGCTGTGGGTTGACCCTCAATGCTATTAGGGAGTGAATTCCAGGATTTTGACTCAACAACAGGCAAGGAACGGTGATATATTTCCAAGTCAGGACAGTGGTGTTCCCACATATCTGCTGCCCTTGTTGTTCTAGATGGAAGTGGGTTTGGAAGGTGCTGTCTCAGGATCTTTGGTGAACTTCTGCAGTGCATCTTGTAGAGCGTATACACTGCTGCTACTGAGCGTCGGTGGAAGAGGGACTGGATGTTTGTGGATGTAATGCCAATCAAGCGAGCTGCTTTGTCCTGGATGGTGTCAAGCTTCTTGAGTGTTGTTGAGGCTGCACTCATCCAGGCAAGTGAGGAGCATGCAAGTTTGTCAGTAACTTGTTCAGCAAATTGTCATCAGCTAAAACAAAAGAGACACTATTCCTGTGGCAATGGCTAAGTGATGGTGGAACAGGTAGAGGATGCTACTAGCAGTTTTCAGCCATAACCCTGCACACGGGTGGCTGTAGGGCAATGGCTGCTCTCAACAAATTGGGGCAAATGTGGAGTTTGTATCCACCTCAGGTGACAGAGAGCACATCTTTTCAGGTACAGTGCTGCTGTCCCCAGTCCAGAGAAGGAGAAGAAAAGCAACTTCAAACACACTCTGCTCACAAGCTGGATTCCAATATATGGACTATTTTTTTTAAAAAAAGCAACCTTGGACAAAACCAAGTGAAGAAGTCAATAAATGTAGAGTGATATAGAGTCAGAAGGCATAGAATCTGTGTGGGCAGAGTCGTGGAACCTCAAAGGAAAGAAGATCCTGATGGGAGTTATGTACAGTCCTCCTAGCAGTAGTGAGGATGTGAGGAAGAAAATAAATCAGGAGATAGAAAATACATGTAAGAAAGGCATGATTACAATTATCATGGGGGACTTAAATATGCAGATGGACTTGGAAAATCAAGAAAAGGAATTCTTAGAATGTCTATGAGATGATTTTTTTGGAGCTGTGTGTGGTAAAGCCCACTAGGGAGTGGGCAATTCTGGATTTGGTGATGTGTAATGAGGCAGATTTGATTAGGGAGCTTAAGGTGAAGGAACTCCTAGGGAACAGTGATCACAAATATGATAGAATTCACCCTGCATTTTGAAAGGAAGAAGCTAGAATTAGCTGTAATGCTATTGCAGTTGAGTAGAGGTAACTACAAAGACCTGAGGGAGCAGCTGGCCAGAGTTGACTGGAAGGGGAGCCGAGCAGGGAAGATGGTAGAGCAGTAATGGCGGGAGTTTCTGGGAGTAATTCAGGAGGCACAGCAGAAATTTATCCCAAGGAAGAAGAAACAGACTAAGAAGAGGACGAGGCAACCTTGGCTCATGAGATAAGTCAGGGACAGCATAAAAGCAAAAGGAAAAGCATACACTGTGGTTAAGATAGTGGGATGCTAGAGGATTAGGAACCCTTTAAAAACCAGCAGAGGATAACTTAAAAAAAGTAATAAGGGGGGAGAAAATGAAATATGAAGTAAGCTAGCTAGTAATATAAAAAGAAGATTGCAAGGGTTTTGTTTTTTAGATATCTTAAAGGTAAGAGAGTGGCAAGAATAAATATTGGACCACTGGAAAATGAAGCTGGAGAAGTAGTAATGGGGAACAAAGAAATGGCAGAGGAACTGAATAGGTACTTTGCATTAGCTTTCACAGTGGACGACACCAGCAGTGCACCAGAACTTCAAGAGAGTCAGGGGCAGACATGAGTGAAATGGCCATCACTAAGAAGAAAAAGCTGGGGAACATGAAAGGCCTGAGGTGGATGAATCACCTGGACCAGATTTCTGAAGGAGATAGCTGAAGAGAATGTAGAGGCATTGGTGGTGATCGTTCAGAAATCACTGGAGTTAGGGATGGTCCCAGAGAACTGGAAAACAGTTAATGTAACACCCCTGTTTAAGAGGGGAGGAAGGCAGAAGAGAGGAAATAGCCCATTAGCCTGACCTCGGCTGTTGGTCAGATTTCAGGGTCCATTGTTGAGGATGAGATTGCGGAATACTTGGAAATGCACGCTAAAATAGGGCTTAGTTTGCAGATGACACAAAGATAGCTGGAGGGACAGGTATTATTGAGGAAGTGGGAGGCTGTAGAAGGACATAGGCTAGGAGGATGGGCAAAGAAGTGGCAGATGGAGTACAACATGGGAAAGTGTAAGTTTATGCACTTTGGTAGGAAGAATGGAGGTAAAGTTTAAACAGGGAAAGGCTTTGGAAATCTGAAGCACAAAGGGACTTGGGAGTCCTAGTTCAGGATTCTCTGAAGGTTAACATGCAGATACAGTTGGCAGTTAGGAAGGCAAATGAATGTTAGCTTTCATTTCAAGAGAGTTAGAATACAAAAGCAGGGATGCACTGTTGAAGCTGTATAAGGCTCTGGTCAAAGTGTGTTTGGAATATTGTGTGCAGTTTGGGCTCTGTATCTAAGGAAGGATGCGCTAGCATTGGAGGTTCTCCAGAGGAAGTTTACAAGAATGATCCTGAGATGAAGGGCTTGTGTTATGAGGACCAGTTGAGGATTCTGAATCTGTACTCTATGGAGTTTAAAAGAATGAGGTGGGGGTGGGGGTGGTGGTGGTGCGGGGGGGGGGGGTGGTGGGGGGGGGGGGGGGGGGGGGGTGAGGTGGGGTGCGGATGTCATTGAAACTTAGAGAATACTGAGAGGCCTGGATAGAGTGGACGTAGAGAAGATGTTTCCACTAGTAAGAGAGACTAGGAACTGAGGGCACAGGCTCAGAGCGAAGGGTCAAACCTTTAGAACTGAGATGAGGAAGAATTTCTTCGGTCAGAAGGTAGTAAATCTGTGGAACTCGTTGCTTAAATTCATTCACCATTGAGTTTATTTAAGATAGAGATCAGTAGAATCTTGATTAATATGGGGAGCAAGGGTTATGGGGAGGCTGCAGGAGAATAGTGTTGAGAAACACATCAGCCGTAGCGGAATGGCTGAGTAGACTCAATGGGCTGAATGGCTTAATTTGCTCCTATATCTGATTGTCTTATTATTTTCCCAAATGCTGTGCTATTACTTCCTTACTAATGGATTCCTTAATAAATGCTGGTCCAGCTGCAATGTGCATATCCCAGGGACAAAAGTAAAATGCTGGAAGTAGTCAGCAGGCCAGGCAGCATCTACAGAGAAAGAAAAGTCGGTTAACATTTCAGGTTGAAGACATTTTATCAGAACTCAGTTCCACAATGGCCTCAGCTCTAATGAAAAGTCATGGACTTGAAACATTAACTGTGCTTTTCTACTGACAGATGCTGCTGGGTATTTCCAGAATGTTATGATTTTACTTCAGATTTCCAGGAACTGCAGTATTTTAAAGACATTATGACTTAGCATGGGCTTTATCTTCACTGCACAATTAAGGTATAACAGATGAGCGCTGGCCAGGCGAGTGATGCCCACATCCTGAGAGTGAATTATTAAAAACTGCTTCCTGATGCCGACTGGCCTGCTGTGTTCCTTCAGCTCCACACTGTGTTGTCTTTGACTCCAACATCTGCAGTTTTTGCTATCTCCTAATAGCACTGTATGCTTCCACAGCTTCTGTATGGTAACTCATCCCACAGATGATTCCCAGCTCCTGGCTGCTTTCTGCCATAAAGCTCTGAGAGGAGGATGATGGATTCCTTCCACAAGCTGCAAACTAAACAAATCTTCCAACTTCTTTCTCCATCCCGAATTATGAAGTGAGATTGTATACCCACCTGAATTCCACGTGGTGAATATTACAGCAGTAATTTCTCTGCTTAAATACACACTTGACAAGCATTATTTCTTTTGGCTCACCCCACTGATTGAGTTGCAACCATCACAAAACCAAATCTATGACTTATTCTAAAACATATGCATAATGAGCCAGATTTCTGCAACATTGGGCATCAGTCTATCCATCCAACTTTGAGAGAAGGTAGAAAAAACAGAAGCAAGAGAAACAGTGGATGGCATGGTGGCTCTGCGCTTAGCACTGCTGCCTCCCAGCGCCAGGGACCTGGCTTCCTCTGATTTTAGCTTTGGGTAACAGTCTGTGTGGAGTTTGCACGTTCTCCCTGTGTCTGCTTGGGTTTCTGCCAGGTTTCTCCCACAGTCCAAAAAGATGTGCATGTTAGGTGGATTGGCCATGCTAAAATTTGCCTGTGGTGTCTAGCGACATGCAGGTGAGTGTGGGGTTACGGGGATAGGGCGAAATGCTCTTCAGAGGCAGACTTGATGGGCTAAATAACCTCTTTCTGCACTGTTGGGATTCTGTGGAGCTGCAGCTGGAAGGATAGCAAGTAAAAACAGGAGGACCTCAGAGGAATCTTACAATCATAGCAGAAAATAAACTGAAGATCTTCGGGAAATGATGCCAATGGAGGCATCAATTCTCAAAGGGAGGCTATAAGCAAGTTCAATGTCAAATTCCTTTCAAACTTTGAGACCAAATACCAATTTTACTTTGGAAAAGGAGCTTAAAAATTTAATATCCTCTTATAACCTCTACAGCAGAGTTCTTGGAGTTCCATGCTGTTATACAAAGCACCTGAGACTGTTTTAAATTTATTCCTTGAATGATCTTTTTAATGTTCCTAAATAGCAGTAGTATATAAAGCATGATATGGTTCTGATTTTAACAGAACTTACCATCTCACAAAAGAGTCTACACCACCAGGCTTTAGAGGCTGTAACTGTGTTGCTTCTTTTAGCCATATGTGAATTTCCCCGCTGAATGGCTTGATCCCATCTGAAGAAAATTGCAGATTATCAGTTAGACATTGATTGTTTCTAGAAAGCTTGAATATGCAATACCTGTCAGTGAAATGTCAGTTCATTGGAACTTGCTAAATACTAGGATTACATTTTTCAGAGAGAGAAACAATGTTACATTCCATGTTTATTATGATAAAAACTTAAATTACGTAACATCTTGCTTAATTTTCTGTTGCCTGCATTAAAATAGTTTGGCATGGAACAGTACAGCCAGTACCAGGCCCTCCAGCCCATCACATCTGCACCGATCATGATGCCATTCTAAATTAATCCCATCTGCCTGCACGCGGTCCATAACTCTATTCTTTGCCCCTTCTTGTGTCTATCTAAATGTCTCTTAAATGTTGCTGTTGCAGCTGCTTCTACTACCTCCCCAGCAGCACGTTCCAGGTACCCAGCACCCTCTATATAAAATCCTTGCCTTGCACATCTTCTTTAAACTTTCCCCATCTCACCTTAAACCTATGCCCCTTAGTTTGACATTTCTACCCTGGGAAGAAGCCTCCAACTATCCACGCTACCCATGTCTTGAATAATTTTTTATACATCTATCAAGTCACCTCTGAGTCTCTAGTGAAAAAAATCCAAGTTTGCATAACCTCTCCTTGAAGCTAATTCACTCCAGTCCAGGTAACATCCTGGTAACGTTCTTTTGTGTTCACCAAAACCACCACATCCTTCCTATAGCGTGCTGACCAGACTGCACACAATACTCCAAATATGGCCTAACCAAAGTTTTATATGGCTTCAGTATGACTTGCCAACTTTTACACTCATGCCCTGACCGATGAAGGCAAGCATGCCGAATGCCTTTACCAACATATCCACTTGCGTTGCACTTTCAAGGAGCTATGAACTTGCACCCCAAGATCCCTCTGCATATGAATGCTCCTAAGAGTCCTGCCATCTACTGATTACTTTCCTCTTACATTTAACCTTTCAAAATGTCCTCACACTTGAGCAACATCCAGACATCTGATGATCAATCCCATGCATGGTAATTTTGAAATGTTGTAGTGGTAACAGCATTGTACTAGAAATCCAGAGGCCCAAAATTCAATCAATATATCTAGAATTAAATACCAGCTGTTAAAACTCATCTAAACTCATTAACTTTAGAGAGGGAAATCTCCCATCCACCCCTCCTGGTTTGGTCTAGGTGTGACTCCAGATCTAAAGCACTGTGACTAATCCTGAATTATCCCTTAAAATGGTCTATCTCGGCAAAAAACTTTGGTCTGCTAGAGATGCCCGCATCCCATAACATATTAAAAGACAAATGAGAGGAACGTGATCTTAAAAAGAGGAGCAGGAGGAGACCATTTGGCCCTTCCTTTCTGTTTCATCCTCAATGGCTAATCTTCCTGTTTAGCTCCACTTTCCTACACAAGCTTATTTCCAAAAATCTGTCTGCCTCTGTCATGAATAAAGAATTCCAAAGATTCACAATCCATTGAATGAAGAAATATCTACTCATGCATTACTAAATGGCTGACATTAATAGGCTGAGACTGACCTCCATTTTCTACCTTCTCCAGCCTGGGGAAACATTTTCTAAAGTCTACTTTTGAATCATTTTATGTTTCAGTTACATCACCTCTAATTCTTCTAAACTCCAGGGAATAAAAGGAAATTATATGGACTTTCCTTCTGGTTCAATGAGTGTTTGATTGGAAATAATGATCCCAAGTGTAACTAATGATCCCAAGTGTAACTAATAAAAGAAAAATTACCTATTGATTCTGCCGGAATATACTTAAGTGCCACACGGATTTCTCCTCTATTGATGTTTCCTTCCGGTAGACTGGATGGCTGAAAATGTACAGAAGTTGCATCACATAATGCTGAATAAAAGGACAGTGTGCAGTTTCAATATATTTTAATTAATTCATATTTTGGTACATACTGCACTAATGGACACTTCCAAAAGGTTAAATCACAATTACACCACAGTATTTAACATTAATTGCTCAGCAGCTGGATCAAAGTTACCTTGTCTATTGCACTTTCCACTGCATTGAATAATGGTTCACTGCACATGAGTGTTTGCATACGGTGCAGACGTCCAGTTCCTTGGAGGGTAATTTTGTTTTAACTTTCTAACTTGGAAAGTAAAAGCATTCACGCTACTACCATTAAAAATATTGAAAGTAGATTTATAAGGTTTTGGACTTTAAATTAAAGTTTCATCAAAGCCACATTTCACGGATCTTTCATGATTTTTTGACAGCAAGGATTTGAAAAAGATACACAATTAATGCTATGCTTTTAAAGCAAAATATTCTAGCAAATTTTAAACTGCACAAAATGTTATTAACGCTTTAATTCAATGTGTATCTCTCAGTGTAGGCTTGTCTGGGTAACCAAGACAACTGAAAAAAAAGTGGTCATTTCCTGTGAGACAGAAAGCAGAAGAGGGTGATTATTTCTGGCAAGGAGCTTTTCAATCAGGCATCAAAAAGGTTCTCCAATGGAGATGATGTTCTATTCATGGGGACATAGGAATAGGAGTCAGATATTTAATTATTTGAACACGTACATTCATTCAAAATGACCATGGCTGACCTGCGACCTAGTTCCTATATTTGCTTTTGCACCATATTTCTTAATACAGTTAGTTAATAAGAATCTATCGGCATTCCATTTGAAATGATCAATCGACCTAGCATAATTGTAGTTTGCAAAACAGAATTATAAATCTTTACCATCCTTAGTACGTAGAATAATTTTACCCTTGAAAGGACTGGTTCTAGTCTTTCAGCAGTTTCCAACTTCATATACCCCATCACTCCCTCCCAAATCCCGGTATATTCTACCATCACATCAATAACCCCTGTCACTCTTCAAATTCTCAAGCCCTTGGCTCCCTAACCAGCGGAAATATATTCCATCTAATCTTGAAAACTTTGAATGGATCATCCTCAACCTTCTTAATTTCAGGGAAAACAAACCTAGTTTATGTACGCTTCCTAACAATTTAATCCATGGATTCCACATATCAATGATTACTGGATCTCCCACAACCATCATCCTGGGAGTTACCATGCACCAGAAATTGAACTGTACCAGTCATAGAAATACTGTCACGACAAAAACAGGTCAGAGGCTAGGAATTCTGTGGCAAGACTTCACCTCCAGATTCCCACAATCTGTCCACTATCTACAAGACAGAAGTCAGTTGTGTGATGGAGTACTGTCCACTTGCCTGGAGGAATGTGACCCCAATAGTAAACAAGAAGCTCAGCACCATCCAAGGCAAGGTATCTACATGGTTGGCACCCCATCCAGCAACTTAAACATTTACTCTTTCCACCACTGACACACAGCACAGCAAGGTGTACTCAACTGATTCCTGGGATGTGGGAGTTATTTTATGATCACTTAAGGTTAGACAGATAGACCTATATTCATTGGAGTTTAGAAGAATAATTGGTGAGCTTATTGAAATATATATGATTCTGAGGAGACCTAACAGGATAGGTGCTGAAAGGATATTCCTCCTTCATGGGAGAGCCCAGAACAAAAGAAACTAAGGAGTCCCCCATTTGAGATGGCAGAGGTTTTATTTTTGTCACTGAGGGAGTTCCTGAGAGATGAAAAATCCAACTAGCTCAGCATTGAATATGCACAATATTGAAGCATGCACAAATCTTGAGGGTAGATGATTCCAAAGATTCGCAACAATCCCAGTGAAGATTTATTTTCCCTCCTCATGCCTTAAATGACCAATACCTTATCCTAAGGCAGTGTGCTCAATGCTATAAATTTCCCAGATAAATGAAACAGCCTCTCATTGTCTACCAACAAGCCCATTCAGAATCTTGCATGCTTTAATTAGATCATCTCTTATTCTTCAAATGGATTTTGTGAGTTTCCTTTGAGTGCACAAAGCTCTCCTCCTCCTTCTCAAGCATTTCAGTAACATTCTCCCAAGATATACACAAGTGACACTTCTCTGAGAGTGAGTTTTTGCTGTCTGACATTGGTCTACAAACCGACGTCAAGCTGGTAGTTTCCGTTGTTGACATCAGGACACATTGTCACCTGCCTCATTCCCAATTCCAATTGTATATTAAAATCTCGGTGTAAGAGTCACAATTCAGGATGATGCCATCGTCATACTGTGCTCTGTGTAAAAATTATACACCATTAGCTTCTCTAGAAGCTTAAATTTTAGACTATTTCAAATAACTTACGATTAAAACCAAATAACCTAAGCAATGATGTTGTTAACTTCCTTGGTTAAAAATATAAATCTTATGCAAAATTAGTAATTGTTACCTTGGACTGCAAGGTGTACCAATTCGGTGTGTTATTTCTCCAGTCCCAGCTAGTCATCTCCACCTCTGTTTCTCCAAGGAATACATTCCGACCAAGAGTATCATTGTGCCACACGGAGACATTCAGAGTTCGATTCAGAAGTTCTTGCTTCTTTATTTTGTACTAAAAAGAATACACCAATAAATATGAGCTCAATCAATCTGGGACATATCATAAGAGTTTCATCTGAGCTGTATCTAAAAGAGTTGTACTTAGCATTTTATGTGTGTTCATGCAATTCAAGTTTTCCTTTGATAACTTCTAAAATTGTTCTACATTATGCTGCTATTATGATTAATTTTTTTTGCCAAATTTAGAGTAATTATACTGGAATGACTTCAAAGTATCTTAGGTGAGTGTTATTCTATACCTTTGTTGATATGGTTACCAGGATGTGCATAACTTAGATTCCTAACTACATATCCTAAACATTTAACAATATTAAAATGGAGATTAGCATAATGGAATAAATACAGTTATGCTTCCAAACTTTAAACCCTCAACTCTGTAATTTTTTTCAATTCTTTTTGGCAGCTTCGGTTTCCTCGCTTCCTCAGCAGGGGCCACCTTTCTGGGTGACATTGTCCTGCTGACCCTCTGATTGGAACTGCAACCCCTAGAGGGGAGTACTGATGGGGATGATGGACAGATTGCCATAAGAAGACAGCAGCCGCTTAATTGGCTGCCACCCATAAAATTCAGCCTTTAGCCCCACTGAGAAATCCCTGCAAGAAGCATTTCCATTTGCTTCGACTAATGTGTACACACACTCACCCAAAGAATTTAGGAATAAGGTATCAAAAGAACAAAAAAAGAAATACAACACAGGACGAGGCCTTCAGCCCTCCAAGCCTATGCTGATCATTGTGCCCTGACTAAACTAAAAGACAAACCTTCTGCCCTTATTCGGTCCGTATCCCTCTATTCCCTCCCTATTCATGTAACTACCCAGATGCCTCTTAAATGTCACCACGTGCCTGCTTCTGTCACCTCTTCTGGCAGTGTGCTCCAGGCTCCTACTACTCTCTGCATGAAAACCATCCCTCGCACATCTCCCTTAAACTTTCCCTCTCTCACCTTGACTGTGTTCCCCCTTATAATTGAAACATCAACCTGGGAAAAAACCTCTGACTATCCATTCTATCTATGCCTCTCATAATTTTGTAAATGTCTATCAGGTCTCCTCTCAGCTGCTGTCTTTCCAGTGAAAAGAATCCTAGTCTTTTTAACCTTTCCTCGTAGCCAATGCCTTCAAGACCGGGCAACAACCTGGCGAACCTTCTCTGCACTTTCTCCGAAGCTTTCATGTCCTTTTGGTAATGTGGTGACCAGAACTGCACACAATACTCCAAATACGGTCTAACAAGGGTTTTATATAACTGCAGCATGGTTTGCCAACTCTTGTACTCTGTGCCCTGGCCGATGAAGGTAAGCATGCCATATGCCTTCTTAATCACTTTGGCCACCTGTGTTGCCACTCCTTGGGAACTGTGGACATGCATGCCCAGATCCATCTGTATGTTAATCTTCCTCAGGGTTTTACCATTTACAGTATAATTCACACCTAAATTTGATCCTCCAAGATGCATCACCTCACATTTGTCTGGATTAAACTCTGTCTGCCATTTGTGTGCCCAAGTTGCAAATCTATCTATATCCTATTGTATCCTTTCACAATTGTTGGCACTATCAGCAACTCCACCAATCTTTGTTTCATCTGGAAATTAATCAAACTACCTAATTTTCCTCCAGATCATTTATATATCGTGCAAATAACAGAGGACCTAAGACTGATCCCTGTCGAACACCACCAGTTTTTGTCTCCATTCTGAAAAATCCTCTGTCTTCTATGACCAAGCCAGTTTTGTATGCATCTAGCCAGCCCACCCAAAATTCCATGTGATTTTAGTTTTTGTACCAATCTGCCATGTGGGACTTTATCAAATGCCTTGCTAAAGTCCATATAAACTACATTCAAAGCCCTTCCCTCATTAATTATCTTTGTCACCTCTTTAAAAAATTCAGTCAGGTTGGTGAGGCATGACCTTCCACATACAAAACTATGCTGTCTGTCACTAACTAGTCTATTTTCTTCCAAATGTGTATATACCTCGTACCTCAGTATTTTCTCCAAGAGCTTCCCCACATCAGATGTTAGGTTCACTGCCCTATAATTTCCTGGATTATCCCTCCTTCCTTTCTTAAACAAAGGAACAACATTGGTTAATCTCTAGTCCTCTGGAACCTCGTCTGTGGTCAGAGAGGATGTGAAGATATCTGCTAACGCCCCAGCTATTTCTTTCCCTTGCATCTCACAGTAACCTGGGTAAACCTACTCACAAGCCACTGCAGCAGATTAGTCTATTCAGCAGACCAACATGATTCCGGCCTTTCATTGTTCGTTATGTCCTCTCAGAATCAACTTGACAACAAAGACACCTAGTTATTTTTCTAGAGACTGCCAATGCTGGAGAATCAGAGATAACAAGGTGTAGAGCTGGATGAACACAGCACGTCAAGCAGCATCAGAGGAGCAGGAAAGCTGACGCTTCGGGTCTGGACCCTTCTTCAGAAATGGGGAAGGGGATTCTGAAATAAATAGGGAGAGAGGGGGAGGCGGATGGAAGATGGATAAAGGGGCAGATGGGTGGAGAGGAGACAGACAGGTCAAGGAGGCAGGGATGGAGCCAGTAAAGGTGAATGTAGGTGGGGAGTTGGGATGGGGGTTGGTCAGTCAAGGGAAGATGGACAGGTCAAGGAGGTGGGGATGAGGCTGGTAGGAAGGAGGTGGGGATGCGGGTTGAAGTGGGAGGAGCAGATAGGTGGGAGAAAGGACGGACAGGTTAGGGAGGTGGGGACGAGCTGGGCTGGTTTTGGGATGCGGTAGGGGGAGGGAAGATTTTGAAGCTTGTGAAGTCCACATTGATACCATTGGGCTGCAGGGTTCCCAAGCGAAATATGAGGTGTTATTCCTGCAACCTTCGGGTGGCATCGTTGTGGCACTGGAGGAGGCCCAAGATGGACATGTCGTCTGAGGAATGGGAGGGGGAGTTGAAATAGTTTGCAACTGGGAGGTGCAGTTGTTTGTCGTGAACCGAGCGTAGGTGCTCCACAAAGCGGTCTCCAAGCCTCCGCTTAGTTTCCCTGATGTAGAGGAGGCCACATCGGGAACAGCAGATACAATGTACCACATTAGCAGATGTGCAGGTGAACATCTGTTTAATGTGAAAGGTTTTCTTGGGGCCTGGGATGGGGCTGAGGAGGGAGGCATAGGGGCAGGTGTAGCTCGTCCTGCGGTTGCAGGGAAAAGTGCCAGGGGTGGTGTGGCTGGTGGGGAGTTCCAGGTAAATTGCAACAAGCTGTCCCTGCTCCTGTGCTCAAATCTTCTCACAATGAAGGCCAATATCCATTGCCTTCTTAACTGCTGGTTGCACCTGTATACTTACTTTCAGTGATGTGTATAAGAATTCCCAGGTTTCATTTCACCTCCAATCTATTACCTTTCAGATAGAAATGTGCTTTCCTGTTTTTGCTGCCAATTGAATAATCTACATTTACACACATTATACTTCATGTGCCAGCCATTTATCCACTTACCAAACTTGTCCAAATCACACTGAAGCATTTCTGCATCCTTCTTACAGCTCACCCTCCCACCCACTTTGTGTCATTGAAAAGCCTAGAAATATTACATCTATACAGCAGCACTAAGCCAATTGATCAAAGACAAAACCAACAAATCGAGGAAAATAAATTTCTGTTTAACAACCTATCTTGAGATTCAGACAGACATTCACTTGAGGGTAGAATACCAAGCCACTCAAATTGGGTGGCTTAGTTGCTTATCTTTAAATTCTTGTCTTTATACTTCTGGCTTTCCTTTCCAACATACTTATTTGTTTTATTTTTCATTGTCTTTTGTATTTTCCTCAATCTTTCAATTCATAGATTATTTTCATTTTATATTCGCTTGAAATAAGTTGCTTCCTGAAGGAAGAAAATTCTCTCCACATTCATCTTGTTAATGTACTGAAAAGCATCAAGAAAGTTGAGGATGTGCAGTTTGTAGTATTAAAATTAATTAGAAATGTGAGTTGTCCATAGTCTGAAATAATAATGGTTTGCTAATAGCTATTCATATATGTTAGTAGTTTAAAAAGTGTTAAGAGTAAAAGCAATCTCTATAAGTCTCCATTAGGCACGCAACTCCTATTTGATGCAATCATGATTCATTGTCATACATTCAAAAGAAAATGCAAAGTGTTGTAGCACTGTTCGATTCTTGTGGTCTCCTTACTGCAAAACGTTTCCACTGCAGAAAGATGAAAATTAGAAAAAATCCTGTCAGCATTTAACAACAAGAGCAGCTGAACTATCCAATTTGATTGGTTTAATATTCTACTTTCGATCAAATACCTGAATCTCAAGATCAGTAGTCAGACAGAAATTTGTTTTCTTCAATTTGTTTGGTTCTGTCATTGATCATTCGTTTTGGTAGAGCTATATTAGAAAGAGACCTTTCTTCTTTGGGGTTAGGTGGTGTGGAAGCATATGGCCAACTTAGATGAAAATTTCTCCTAGCCACTGTGAAATAATATGGTCAGAAACATGGCCTTGTCATTGCATCTTCCTAGATGAAGGGATTAGATTAAAGTAAATGGTTTATTTTGTGGAGATTCATAGTGAGTGTGGATGAGGAGCAATACAATGGTTCTATATTTTGGAATAATTTTGCAAACGGAAGGTCACATACAAGTCAATTTCAGACAAACATACCTTCAGGGTTTCATTATATTGAGGATTCAGTGAAGCTTTCTTTACAGATGACTTGCGTTTGCTAGGTCTAGTGCGGTCAGGAAGAAGATAGGTCTTTACATACCTGTTTGAAGAGAAATGTATTCTATATAAGTGCAGGTCTCTAAATGGAATACATTTGTATCCCATTTATCAGTGTATAATTTCAATCTCTAATATGTCAATAAGTTTTAAATATTTTGAATTTCAGACAATTTTTCAGACAAGCCCCCTTGATCATAATGTGGCACTTAGCAAGCCACTCAGTTTCATCAACTGCTATAAAAGTATGAAATGCTAAGAAATAGCTGGCATTAATAACCAGAAATAACAACAGCAAACACAGCCTGTTGACCCTGAAAATTCTTGTTGGGATAATGCCATAGTTGGGAGTGCTGTCTGACAGACTAGGCAAGCAACAGGCTGACATTGTCATACTCACTGAACCATACACTTTCACACATTTGTCCCAGAAACTACTATCAACATCCCTACAAGCAGGATAGACCTAGCAGAGGTGGTGACATGGTGGTATACAGTTGGGAGGAAGTTGCCCGAGGAATCCTTAATATTGGTTTCAGACCCCATGAAGTCTCATGGCATCAGGTCAAACATAGGTAAGGAAACCTCATGCTGATTACCACCAATCACCAGACTGCTCTCACTCAGTCACACCCTCAGCTGAATCATTATTTCTCCTTCATGTTGAACAAAACTTTAACAAGCATGACGGTGGCAAGGGCACCAATGTTTGCTACCAAGAATGGCTTGGCAGCAGCACTACTGACTGAGCTGGTCAGGTTTTGAAGGATGGAGCTGCTAGACTGGGACTGTGCCAAATCTTAATGGAACAAGGAAGTGGACAAAAACAGACTTGATCTCATCCTCACTAATCTGCCTGCTGCAGATGTGTCTGCCTATGAGAGTATTAGGCAACTACCACAGAGATCTTGTGGATACAAATCACACCTTCACATTGAGAATACCTTACATCATGTATGTGGCTCTATCACCATGCCAAATAGGACAGACTTTGAACAGATCTAATGTGTGACACTTGGACATCCATGAGATGCTTTGGGCCATCAGCAGCAACAGAGCTGTATTCCAACAATCTACAACCTTATGGCCTGGCATATCCCCACTCTACCATTGGAATTTAGGCAGGGGAACAACTCTGGAGTGCAGGAGGGTATGGCAGGGTCTGGACTAGACAGACTTAAAAATGAAGTGTTAACCACAAAGCTACAAAACAGGGTCTCTTGTGCGCCAGACTGTGTAAACAACAAGTGATAGACAGAGCTAAGCAATTCCACAACCAATGGATCAGATTGAGGCTCTGCAGTCCCACCATGTGCACAAGCATGACAAATCCAATTACTCCCCTATCAGCCTATATTTAATTGATGGAATGTGCTTTCAACACTTGCTTAACAAGAACCTGCTCATTGATTTTCAGTTTTGAGTTCCATCAGGGCCACTCAGCTCCTGACCTCTTTACAGCTTTGGATCAAGCTTGGATTTCCAGAGATAGGGAGTCATTCTCGCCCTTTGACATCAAGGCCACGTTTGAATGTGTGTGGCATCAAGGATCCCTGGCAAAACTAGAATCAGTGGGAATCAAGGGAAAACAGTCTGCTGGTCGGAGTACAAAGGAAGATGGTTGTGGTTGTTGGAGGTCAGTTATCTCAGCTTCAGGATATCTCTGCAGGAGTTCCTCAGGGGAGTGTTCTTGGCCCAACCATCTTCAGGTGCTTCTCAATGACCTTCTTTCCAGAACAAGGTCAGAAGTGGGAATGTACAATGTACAATGAGGATTGCACAATATACAGCACCATTCACAGCTCCTCAGATACTGAACGAGTCTGTGTCCAAATTCAGCAGGATAGGGACAATATCTATATTCAAATTGAATGTTGATTTTGCTTTTTGTGCATCTTATTTTCAGCAGTAACTTTGTATTCCCTGCTCTGTTTAATCATTCTATCATCTTTGTACGGTAGGATCTGCCTGTACAAGCAACAGGCTGACACTTGTCATACTCACTGAGCCATGCACTATACACAATGTTCCAGACATCACTATCAGCATCCCTGGGAATGTTCTGTGCTACCAGCAGGATAGACCTAGCAGAGGTGCATGCAAAACAAAACTTTTCACAAAACCTAGGCAGATATGACAATAATAAATCAAATCAAATAATAAATCAAATTTTAAAAATTGGGCTGACAAGTGACAAGTAACATTCATGTCTCATATGCCAGGCAATGACCATCTAAAACAAAACAAGAATTTAACCACAGTCTCTTGAAATTCAATGTCATTACCATTGTTTGAGTCTCCACTATCTACATACTGGGTGTCATCATTGACCAGAAACTGAACTGAACAAGCTGTACAAATACTATAAGAGCAGGTCCGAGGCCAGGTGTCCTGCAGTGAACAACTCACCTCCTGACTCCATAATGTCAATCTGCCATCTACAAGTCACAAGTCTGGAGTGTACTTCCACTTGCTTTGATGGATGCAGCTCCAACACCAATCAAGAAGCTTGACACCATCCAGGACAAAGCAGCCCACTTGATTGGCATCACATTAACAAACACCCATTCCGTCCACCACTGATACTCAGTAGCAGCACTGTGTGCCATCGACAAGATGCACTGTTGTGATTCACCAAGGCGCCTTGCACAGCAACTTTCAAGTCCATCACTACTAACATCTAGAAGGACAGGGCAACAGATACACGGTAACACTACCACAAGCTCCCCTGTAATCCACTCATTATCCTAACTTGGAAATATATCACTGTTCTTTCAGTACTGCTGGGCCAAAATCCAGGAATTCCCTCCCTAACAGCATTGTGGGTTCTACCTACAGGACGTGGACTGCAGTGGTTCAAGAAGGCAGCTTACCACAAACTTCTCAAGAGCAACTAGAGATGGGCAATAAATGCTGGGCTGCCAGCAACGCTGACATCCCGTGAATGAATAAAAAACAAAAAAAAGCAAACAAGCCGGGAATAACTTGAGGAAACCGAAATTAATATCAAAAGGTATCATTAGCTCCATCTAAATAGTATGCATGGAGACTTTTCGGGATCTGAACAATGTGGGTAATGGTGAGATGGTGATTGGGCAACAAGTGCAGTGAGGCCTATCTGAATGCGGGGAGCAACTTGCTCCACCTTTTATGTTATTCACAAGCGGGATTGGGAAATTCATGCTAGGCAGTAGCAAGTTGCCAACTGATGATGATTATTGCTTGTTAAATGCTGTTTATAGTCAAATATACCTCGTTAATATTCAGCCTCCCATCTTACCAAATTTGCCAAACAATGTCAGGAAAACTCAACAAGGAATCCGGAATGAGCACCTGGAAGTTTCAGCCCACTGCTCAGTCTGAATGGACTTTCATGTTGGAAATGGTCACCAACATGTCAGGGTACACCAAATGGATACACTCACTCCATGTCCATGGGCATTGGCAACCGAAGTATGGCAGCCTGTAAGTACCCTCATGGCACATCTCCAATGTGTACACGTATGCACTTCAACATTGCACTTTGAGCTGCACTGGCATCTAAGATTTTAATGCTGCAGTAGGAGCACTTTGCACTCAAGGACACACATGCAGCTAACAGAGTGGACATCATTGTCTTTCTGGGTTCTTCACTTGCTGTCATAGCACTAACTCACTCTTAGCATACAGGTCTAGTCCCAGCATCCTTGCCTTCCCTTTTGTGCTTTACTGCAGCCTTGCAATGCTAGTTAGCATAGACAGAAAGCTGAGAAGCTTACCAGGGTTGTCAGCAGATCTCACTCAAGTAAGCAGAATAACCTTTGCTGAAGAGGTCCTGGTACAGTAAGTCAAAAGCAGCTTCCGATACTAACCCAGGCCTTGCTTAGGATGGTCAGAGGAGGATTCTCAAAAGGGACGAGGAGCCAAAATGGCCAGCAAGACACCACTTGTGTTGACTCTTTCTGACCAATTATGGCATGTTTTCTTCATGGAATGAGAGTGAGGCAGCTATTGTAAGAGATGAATGTGGGTGGAACAACTATTACTATTGGAACAGATTGGAAGGCGTGCAGAGCGAGTGACTAGGCAGCAAAGTGAACATGCAGGGTTAGTGCTGTTATGGTTGGGGTAGGTGAGTAGGGAAGATGTTATTTGCAATAGTGAGAATGGTAGAGCATGAGTCTTGATGGAGGTGGGTTCAGAGTCAGAGATAGATTGAATGTGATATATCAGAGAGAATATGAAGGAACATTTTGGCAAAGTAGAGAAGGACATTGACTTTATTCCTACAATGGTGTGAATTCCTTCATATAGCTGAGCTCACTTTAACCTACATGGCAACCTCGGACCAGGCTAGCATGGACTCCACCGCTGGTTATAGTGGAATAGAAAGTCCCGTTTCAGCAGACCCTCCACGTTCTTGCCCATAAAGCAATGTACCAATGCCCCACTGTCTGCCAAATCTAGGGAAAATGTCAGGAATTATGCACAGCTACATTGGACTGACAGTGCTTGTCTGGGCTTTTAAAGACTTGGGCACAAAGGATGTCAGTGAATTCCAGGATATTTGCCTAGTGGCAAATTGTTCCAGGAATGGTGTATGGTCAAGTGGATGGAAATCAGGCATGAGAGATCCTTAGAGACTAGGCAGGTAATTAATGAGGCAAGTTTGGTAAGATACTGAGAGAGATCTCATTAGGTCCTAGCAGCAACAAACCCTCCATAAAAACACAACATAACTTAGACTTAGCCAATAAATACAAACTTCGACTCAATATGTCTGTTTGGATGTTCCTCTCTAAAGCATACAAACCAATTAAGCATCATATAACATAATGAATAACCTCTGATAGAATTCTCCTCAGACTTACAAAATCAATTTATGCTTCCTCACATTCAATAGAGTATTTGCTACTTTTTTATAAATCTTGTTAAAGTATCAATGTGTACTGGGTTTATAGCTCCTTCATTCTAAAATAAAATAAAACCATATAGCAGCATCAACTTTCAAATCACAACATTTTATGTCAGTGTATTTTCTGTCTCATTACATTTCAATGTTCT